TCATATTTAACTTAGTAGAAACTAAATGTCAAGGAAATACCAAATCAGAAAGCTGAGCAGAAATGCATTTCATTTTGGAAAAGAGCAGACATGAAACAATTAAAAAAAAAAGAATTTTATTTTTCTTCTGAACAGACAGTAGCCCAGCATCAATTCGTGCATGTAAGTTGATTTCCAAGTGAGAAGAATTGAGAGCAGGAAGGGATGCAAACAGTCATAAGGAAACAGGAGTTGCAGGCCCTGCTGCCCATCTCTGGTGAGCATCCTGAGGGGCCCCAGTCCTGGCTGCTGGCAGGACTCAGAGAAAGTGAATCTGCCTGGGGCTCCCAGGCTGCACTGCACACAGAAGGAAACTTCTTGAGCCAACAGAAGAAAACCAAACCCTCTTGTTATGAAACAATTTTAATCTGATGAGGGAGAGACCTCCATGTGTACGTTAAAATAAACAGAAATTCTTACTGACAGCACAACCATTTAGATTTCCTGTATATATAGATTTAAGGAATAGCCACTAGAACACTGATTTTTTGTGACCCTTGCCCTTCCTGTTTGTGAGTGGCAGCTGAGATGCAGCCCTGATTCAGGGCAAATTCCAGAGCAACAGAGCCCCTCTCCCTCTCTCCCTCTGGGTCAGCTCTGGATGCACCAGCCTCTTGCCACTAAGAGCAGAAGGACCGAGGGTCTCAAGTCCATGTTCTGAGTGATTCTGCTGGGAAAATGTGAGTATTGCCTTGGTACTGACAGTCCAGGTGCAGCTCTGTTGCTCACCCTTCAATTTCACCCCAAATTTTCAAATCACTTTCTGTTTGATTTTCAATCCATGCTTCAGCCTGCTTCTCCTTTTTGATCTTCCTTAAAGTCCTATTTTCTGTGTTTGCAAAACCATTATCAAACAGCCATTTGCTGCTGCTAATATAAAGAAGGGAAAAACCATTTCTGCCAAAAACATATGAGAGATTCTTACTCTTAAGGGCAGGATGTCTCAGCCCTAAAACCTTATCTGCAAATGAACTGTACTGCCTTATAATAATTGTACCATCTTGATGTAGAAGTGTAGATGTAAAGAACCATCTGCAGGGGCATCTAATCTGATGGAAGGTGTGACCATAAGGTTTGTGAACGAACCTGTAAGGATAAAGCCTCACCTTCAAGTTTCAGAGGAAACTTTCCAATTGGAGTATTTTGGCATTATGTCATGATTTCAAAGGGCACATTATTGCAATTTAGTGTTTGTTTGTTTTCTGCATATACTATGTACTCTGTGGATTAAAAAAAAAAACAAGTATTGTGGCACAGGACAAAGCAAAGACACAATAAATATAAAATACAGCACAGAAATCCGATGGCAATCCCTCCACACAGTAGGAGACTAGCATTCAGCTAAACTAGTCTTCTGGTACAGCTGGTTCTGGCTAGTGAGACTCCATTGTTATTTACAAGCAAGCATATTTAAGTGATTAGGATATCTTCGTTCCATTTTGTTCTGATTTGGCTGGTCTCCCTGTACTTAGTGCTCTCTGAGCACACTTAAGGGACCAACCCTTTCATTTACATTTTCAGTTACACAAGAATTTTTTCATCAGGTCACTCTTCCGTGCATTGCCATGTGCCGAGTACTGCATTTGGAAGCATTTGATGGTCTCGAGAGAGGCGATGCTTCACTTGTCTTGGGAAGCAGAAGACAGAAGTCCTCACAGGCAGGAAGAACTGGGCTAGATGGAAAATGTATTAGCATAAATAAGATAAAAATTTAAGGCACAGAAATTGTAATTGCAAAATACATCTGTGTGAATTCTGGCATTAAGGGAATTCTGGAAACCACAAAGAAAATAACTGCCATTAGGCTGGGAATGACAGTAGAACAGGTTTAAACTAAACTACATTATGTGGTTTTTAGGATGCACCAAGAGCATGTGTAAACATTGAGGTATAGCTGTACAGTACATCTGAGGATTGCTAGCCATTTGCCACTGCCAGAAGGAGCAGCCCAGCCATTTTCTATTGGTCCTAGCTTTGTCCCTTCTCTCAAACCATCTCTGTGCCTCATATGAGAACTGGTGAGCCAATTCTCACCTGGCAGAAACTGCTCACCTTTTATTTTTGGCAGGGCTCTTTTTGGTCAGCACAGCAATTTCAATTGGTGCTTCATTCCATCAGATGAACACCAGAGCCAGTGCTTGGAACAGGTTGAGGGCTTTCACCCAGTGTGAGCAGTGCTGGCAGAGGGCTGGTACCTCATGTTCAGTGGCAAGGAGCACGTAGGTTGGCAGAGCTCTGTCATTCATATTGCAGCAGCTGGGAGCTAAGGTACATTAACTGTGCTCTGTGGCTGTGTAACTGGAGAGCCTCAAATGAGCCAGTCTGAGAGGTATAAAACTCCACAATTTTTCGGAAGGATTCATAATGTTGCATTGTCTGTTTGTCTGTGTAGAGCTTCTGAGGTTAGAGGAAAAAACAGTTTGTTTGGGGACATAGAGTAGTAGTTGGTAGGCATAATCTAAACAGTGTTAGAGTGCCTTTGGACTGAGGATTGCTCAAAGTTTGTCTTTTTTCTCCCCTCCCAGTTCCTGTGACTTTACAGCATAAACGTTTTTCATCATGTCAACAAACCAGCCTCAAATCCCAGGGTTTATCTCTTCCAAGAAAGCTCAAGGAGATAAATAATGCGAAGACAGCTGAAAGTGTCATTCAGATGCAACCACATCAGTATGGGTTACTGTTGGCATAGTGCATTTTTTCTTTGTAAGTGTTGCTGGTTTTGAGTTGGTATCAATACACAGCCTGTTCCCAAAAACACTGCAATGCCAGTTGCAGTTCCTGCCTCTTGTGCTGCTGTCCCAACTTGACACTCACTGCTGCTAAACTGCAGCAGAACTGAAATGCTGAGGAGTGTGCATAGGAAGGGACTTTCTGGAGTCTAAGCAAAGTTTTTAAAGAGAACAGCTTAAAACTGCAAATGTTTATGGGAGGTCAAGATTCTGTAGAAAAGACTGAGACTTTTAAAACAGCAAAGGAGATTTAGCCACATGTCTTTCATTCAATAGTACCAGGAAATCCCCACATCCAGCTTGGAAATTTTTGATATGAATTATTTAATTGCAGATGACAGTCTTCTTGAGCAATACTAGCTCCAGCTCTGATTCTTTTAAATACCAAATTCATAGACAATAATGATAGAAAACTAATACAGAAAAACTGTTACACACACAAATATGCTGAAGAATGACATTCTTTCCATAGTGATATAAAAAAAAAAGTTCTTGAACTCAAGCCAGGATTTAGGGGCTACAGCAGTGTAGAAACCTTGGCAGGATAAGGAGCACTGAGAAGGTTATTGTTGTTACTCTTTTTCTGGTAAAGCAGGAGCCAGTTCTGCTAGAGTTTACCTCAGTAATTTAAAAGGGAGCTTTTTGAATACTTCTACTTAGTTCTCTTATTGTTCTCTTAAACTTTTGACTACTTCTGGTTTCATATTTTTTTTGGTCAAAACCACAAAAATTTGTTAAGGAGGACTTGGTTAGTTCAATGTAAATTTTCTCTGCTTGCTTTCTCATCATTGTTTCTTTTAAATCTTATATGAGCAGAGGTTAGCTCGATGGGTTTAGAGCTTCAGTTCCCATTCCTTGACAATCCAAGCATGGGAGAACTGGAGTTCAATATAAAACTTAGAGTAAAAACTAGGGAGGTGTGTCTTCTTAAGTCATCTGTTGTGTTTTTCAATCAATATTCCTTTTTCTTTTGTCTTTCCCATTAATGACTGACAAATAGTTTGCAAAGAATGCTGCAGATGACCAGTGTTGTGTGCTGCAAAGTGTAATATTCCTCTGCCCTGGAAGCTCCCCAGTGTGAACAGCATTACCTATTTGTATAGAGTGCCTAAAAGGTTACCCTGTAACATGAGGTGAGGAAAAAATCTGTAGAATTCTTAGAATAGGAAAAAGGAACAGATTTGAGAAGAGATCCAATGAGAATTATTTCAGAATTATATAGAAAATTACTTTAGTTTTAGCTAGTCATACAAGATCCATCACCTCCCTCAAAGAACAGACCTGTGCTCTTCCCAATAACTTCAGAGAAAATGAGTAAGAACCTTTTGAGAGAGCTAGTAAGAAGGAAGTCCCTTTGTGGCTCTTGATTTCTAAATATTTCTCACTGTCTAAGTCAAAAGGTTCTTTCATAAAATCCTTGCTCGTCTTGTCTTGATCCCAAGGTGGAACTAAACTCCCCAAGCACCAAAGGCCTCAGATAGACCAGAATTCATTCCAAAGGCATCGACAGCTTAGCTTGCAGTTCTGTTATCAGGCTAAAGAGCCTCACCCTGCACCCAATTGGTTGGTTCCGCATACAAGGCTGGCAGTAGGATGGGGATGTAACAGAGGGAAACAATGTCTTTCCTGTGGAAGCCCAAATGGGCCTGCATAAGTATAACATCAAACCACAGTACAGAGTCAAGAACTGTGTTTCCAGATGCTTATTTGCTACTTCAGAGCTTTGCAGATGGGGAGGGTTCTAAAACATCAAACTCTTCTACTTTTTACCGTGGAGTAGCAGTTCTTAAGCTTTGAGACATGGAGTATTCTGTGGCAGAGCATAGAGGAGCACCTCGTTATTCACACACAGGTACAGGGCTTGTACATTAATATGGCTCTTTTGAAGTTAATTATCAGAATGTAACAAAAGAGATAAAAGTTGTGTGGAGTAATTTCTTGAAGTTATTCCATAATCTGTGGACAAACAACTGGCCTGCAATGCCATAATTTGGTGTGACGTGGCTTGTGGTGTGCAAGTCATGGAGAACTCTGACTCTCTATTGACTCATTACCATAACAATTTATGTTGGCTTACAAGTACTTACCCTCAGAAAGTCCTTATTCCCTCCTTTGACTTTCGAAAGATTAAAAAGAGTAACTGGTAATTTAATTTCTTTATGACCATATTAATCCTGTAGATCCTGCTCAATCAAGATGCTGATATTGCTGCTGATTAAATACAAGTTGACAGACACACGCCTACACCAAATTTATTCCTGCACTTGACATGAACAAAGTGTAGCTAAGCTTAAACATAAGGAAGTTCTAGTTAATCACAGCTCTGGAATTAAATAGCAGCTACGTACATAAATTAGTGTAATACAGAGCAATTCTCAGAAAAAATACCCTAAGATTTTATTATTATCACCCTGTGAGACTGAAATTTGTAATTTGCACTATAATTCCATCAGCTGTCTTTTCTTCTTCTGTGCACAATCAGATATAACATCACTATGTCATTAAAGAAACAATTATTCTAACAACATACTAATAAATGCCTTCTGTTAGATGCAGGATTTAGCCAGCAAACATAAATAGGCCCTTTACATCAATACCAGAGAAGATTAACAGTGACATTTTCATGTCACCCACTCATTCATGAATTGCCACATTGTCACTGCAAGCCACAGGGTGGAGGAAAAAAAAGGGAGACAACCAGCAAATGCAAAGTTATCATTCGTGGGAGTGAAGAAACTGTGACTATTTAAAGATGTTAGTGAAAAACTCTAAAATCAGCAAATGTTTGAATACCGCATAAATTCCATATTTATACTGTACGGTGAATATTTAATGAGAATTTGGTTGATCAGATTTTCTTTTTGGGGAGGATACAGTACTTCCTACATATACACGGCCTTCCTGTGTAGACTTGGACAACTCATACAGCATTTGTGTGCCTCTTATTTTCTCAGGCTTATAATTTTTGGGATATATTTCACAGCAGTATTTCCCATTCCCATATGTGGATTGTAAGCAACTTAGTAGTGTCTGTAGAGAATCTACAGATGCTCTGTATAGATGGGGTAATACTGCTGTTATGATGAAACCTGGGAACCTGAGGATCCTGTAATAACAATTGTCTTCTCACACTCCCCAAATCAAAAAACAGATTATAGCAAGCAGCAGGGTTAATCTGATTCATAACTGGTGTATAGTTAAAATTACCCTGCAAAATTAAACAAAAATTCAAATGCTGATTTTTTTAACAGAGGTTTTTTCCCTGCCATTTTTTCATAGATATCGGTGCAGGAACTCACATAGTAGGTTTTCTGTAGCACTCATCATTATGGTAGTTACCTATCAAGCCCAGGATATAAATGCAAGTTGTCAGCTAAAGCCTTGAAGCCAGTCTTGCAGTCACACACTGATTTTCACATATATTCATCGACTAGGTTGGGCTTAAGTTCTTCCTAGGAATATTTTATCAGTTAAGCCTGAATCCAATTGTGTTGTTTAAACAAAGTTTTAAGGATATATGTTTGCAAATTTAGGCTAAAAATATCCCTTGAGTCAATCAAATGAGTTGACTGGCTCCCAGGAAAGTCATAGTGAGATATGAGGGAAAAGTAGGAAAACAGCCAAATTACAGCCAAAAGCTGTAATTCCTTTTCTTTTTTTCATGTGTGCACATACATACATACATACATACATACATACATGAATGATTCCTGCGTGGCTGCCACCATTTGAGTAGGTTGCAAAGATTCAGTGGGTGAGGAGCTACAGCCTTTCTTGTATTTAGACAATATTATGGGATACTGACTGTGCAATGTCATCAGCACAAGTTTTGACCAGGCACCAGGAAAAGGACCCCTGAAGAGCACCTTTGTGGAATGTGGAACAATAAAATCATTCTGTGATTACAAAGAAAGGAGTTGTTGCCCTGTACTGATTAGTCACCATGTGTGCTGGCATGTTTGAGATGGTTTACGGTTTTTTCCCCCTTCTTCTTACGTCAGGCATTCAGTTTGAAGGGTGTGTAGGGAAGTTAACTTTGATTAGTCATCTGTAAAGTTACAATATTCTACTTTTAATACGATGTGAGGCACAGTTTTCCAGAATTTGGATTCATCTACATAGGGATCACAGGGCACTCACCAGCAAAAGAGGATGAAGTGGGCATTCAGGTTAGTCAGAACTCCCATTTAGGACCCATTATAAAAGATAATAGTCTTGACATGGCTAGTGGAATAATCATTGGAAATCCTATGAACTATGTTAAGTGTTTCTTATACACCAGTGTTGCCTTTAAGGTACACAACACTAAAATCATGGAAGAGAAACTGTGGTAACTGCGGTCCTTTCCCACATTTCCCCACTAACTTCTTCTTGTCTCTGTTATAATTAAAATGCTACATGTGGAGACCTCTGTTATCAACACAATTTTTTTTGTTCTCATTCCTGAAATTTAAAGTAGAAAAGGAAAGCTTATGTTTAGTTTTTCCATGTAATTCTTAATCAAGAGATTTCTTTATCTGAAGCATCCCTATTTTCTGAGCTGCATTCCTTTAATTATAGTCTCCCAAACTGTCACAGTGATTTCTGTAAGACAGTATGCCATGGGTAACAAGGAAGAGAAATAGCAAATATAGATGTCCTTATACGTTCAAGTGTTACAAACATGTTTTCTGGTACTTTGATGCTTTATGTCATGCAGGTTTTGTGTCCAGTGAACAGAGATAACTTTATAGCCTGCACAGTCCATTTTGTCTTTCTGTATTTAAAGTAGTATAAGGGACAGTACCTCTTTAGTACGAAATGACTCAAGGGACTTCTGTGCCCCAAAATGTATTGAAGACATCCTTTACCTCTTTTTGAAAAGAAAAAAACCCTGCTAACTCCTTCTCATGCTCCCCAGTAACCTAGGAGAGCAGACAGTTTACCACTGTCTACGTAGAAGGGTGGGTGCACCTAAACGCACGAGAATGGTTCATTTGGCATGACTGATCTAGCTGAAAGAACGCAGAATGCTTTTGCACCTTGACCCGAGTATTACCTGCTCTAAGGGCAACTCTTTCACATGCCAGCAGCAGCTTTACTCCTGGCAAAAGTCTCAGAACACAGTTTCTTCAGGTTTTACAACATAAGATGAAATATCTCTAACACAGTTTTATTAAAACCAAACACAAACCTGATAGGTTGCCTCAGTTTTCCCAATAATGTGTATTAGGACACACCAGTATTAGATTTGGCTAAACTGAAAAATCACAGAAGATAAATTCTGGAACAGCTGCAAAATAATGTGTCATTATAACAAAACTGGAAATTCAAAATTGTATGTTCCATCTTTTTCTGTCAAACTGTACAGTTTTAACACAAACTGAAAAGCTAGTTCCTCTCTCAAATCCTAATTTTAATCTCAGACTTCTTCCTTCTCCCCACCCTCAGTAGAGGACATGAAAAAAATGACAGTATGCACCTTCTTTTTAATTCTTCAGTGTCAACAGGGAAACAAAATGCATGACTAAGATACCCTTTTCTGGATAAAGTCTCTGAAGTTTAATCTATTGCCTTCAGGTTCATATGCATTCCTATAAGTCAAGGCATATTAAGTCAGGACTGTAATCCCGTTAGTCCTCCTTTCTAGCTAATGGAAAAAAAAGTCAGCAATGCAATGCTGAAGGGTTTCTCTTCCAGTGAAAAGCCTAAAGTGAAGTGTGTTCATTCTGATGTTTCAGGACTCTCCTGCAACAGCTGTAGCTACACTCAACACAAGAGTTGTTTGCGCTTTTGCAAACAGTACTAGTCACACTAAGAAATGTTGGTAAGAGGGCCAACTACAATACTTAGCATCAGACATTAATTTACATTAGAGCTCTCAGCACGTCAGCTTTCTCAACTATTACTCTGCAGGAGAAGGGAAATACGTTTGGATACAATTTTCTAAATTAGCAAGCCATTGCATGATCAGCAAGGTTCACATAGATTGCTCTCCTACCAAGTCCTCCACCTCTCCCATAACCGCAAGCTGCTTCCTGCATGCCTCTACCCTCTCCTAAGTTTCCAAGAACACTTTCCCCGTCCCTTCTACTCTCACTTGTGTCACCGTACTACTGATTTGGGGTTGCTTGGTGCATGCATCCTGATCCACCAGCATGGTAACAGCTGAGACTTCTTCAGTCTAAGCACAAATCTGTATGTCTGTCGGAGGAGTTACCAGCCGCACAAGGTTTACTAGTTTTAAAATATCTTTTGGTAAGGCGGCAGCTTCTAAGAATTTTTAAATATACCAAGATCCCACCAGTCTAGCTTGGTAATGAAATGAAACTTCCTTTTAGAGAAACCACCAGCTGTACTTAAGACATGTTCCAAAATACCTTAATCCTAAACCTTTTTTAATTAGGTATTGACCTGTACACAGTGACCAAAACTAGTATTAGTCTTTCCAGGGTCAGAGATATTAAGCTGCACAGAAGTAAGGTCAGGATACTATTTTCAGTTAAGCAATGCCACTCTTCCAGGCCCTTATTTAGACATACTTGTCTACAACAAAAATTGTTGTGTCTTCATTTGCTTTGACATGAGTTATTAGAGAGTAACTGCCAAAGAAAAATGTTACTTCTTGCAAACAACTCAACTGTATTTTTTCTATGTCTTACTCTTTGAGTGCTAGATGGCATCAGACATCTCGATGATAAAAAAAACAACACAAAACAGGACAGAGTTTTAACACCCAATATGCACATAGCACCTAAATATGTAGCATAGAGGAGCTGACTCAAGCATAAACAATTCATGGGCTCTTTTATTTTGTAAGACCAAAGCTTACAGATTCTTAACTCAAAATCATTCAGAGAGACACCCATAAAAAGTGTATTAATAAAAACTGACTCTTATTTTTTTTTCAAACTTAAGGTAAAACAAATGATACCAAATGTTTACATTACAGTCTTGCCACCTTACACACGTCATAAAAATTGAACACATCCAGTAACTTCAGACGTACCATTTAAAACATACCAGTAAGTGCTCCAGTTTTCTGTACCATACAACTTTATTTCAAATTCACATCTTTCTAGGCAACGTATCCAAAATATTTGACTCAAGTGTACGTTTAGACTGTAAATATCTTGAAACAGAGTCCCATCTCAAAAAACCCCATTAAATTTTAGCTCATGTTATAAAAAGTAACCATGTGGAATGTGACAATTGTGAAATCAAAGTGCTTTATTCCCATAGCGCAGACAGACACAAGTGGTTATCTAGCCATTCCTCATTGTATCTCAGACAGATCATCAACAGAGATGTTTGCTCTGTTGCACCCCACCTTGCAAAGACCTTTGGACCGCTGTGGTGAAATTTCATTAATTGACAGATGAACAGTATCAGTGGACCAACAATTTCACTCTGATACATCAAATAATGAGTTATAAATGAGGCATCTTTTTTACTATTTTTCAAGTTCCCTTACTAATTACAAAAGTTCTACTGTATTATGTAAGATTATGTTCCAGTTAGTCTCTTCAAATCCAAGGTGTGCTATATTCAAAACCCTCAAATTATATCCCAGAACCAACAGCTATCTAAAACTCAGTATTTTTGTGCAATTCTTTGCTATTTGCATGTGAAGAGAGAAACCCTTCACCCACCAGCTTGTATGAAACAACTACAAACTCAAAACAGAAAAGCTACTTTAATAAGGTCTGGACATTGGTAGTTGCGTGGAATATGTCTTCAATTGAGCTCATGTTGCAAGCATTCGGTCAGAAAACTTCCTTCCTAAAGAAGTCTAAAAAGCGATTTATCTTCCAGAGAGAAGGAAGTTTAAGACTTAGGCATTTAATTTTCTTTTCTGTTGCAACAGAGCTAGCTCTATGCTATAATTTGTATGATTGGTCCCTCCCTCTGTTTCAGACACTTCATTGTTACATAGGTGTACAGCTTAAATGGGAAGGGTCAAGGGAAAATTTCTGGTCCCATCCCACAGATGTAAAGAAAGTGCTTTGCAAGACTGATTTTATCCATCTCATTTGTGGCAACCAACCCAAAATGAAGGCACGTGAAATCTATATCAATATAGCTTATAAGTTATAAACTAAAGCTGAATCTCCATATAATTTCTAGTCTTTCTGCACAAAAGTAATGACCAGCACCTACACAGAGATTCAATTTTTTAAAATGTAACTTTTCCCAGAAATAGTTAAAGTGTCACTTGCATGCCTATGCAAACACTGTCATTTATTAGTTTTGACACAAAGTGCGGAAATAGGTAATTTATCTGCATGGGAAGTCTAAAGCCAATGCATTGGCAGCACTTCCTCTTCCCCTGTTGCTACAAGAAATGCAAGCCAGCAGCAAGAGCCACACACAGCTGTTACCTTGAAAGTGCACAACTCCCAGCAGCAGTTCCCCTGTGAGGTGTTCTACAGCTTGTGGCATGCAGTTAAACAGAGTCTCGAATTTGGATTTTAACATGTCAAAGCCTATCTACTTTTGGTTAGCTACTGGCCAGACATGCACATGTATTCTAGGAAGCCAACTCGAATCATGCTTTGACAAATGTGGCATTGAAACAGGCCAAACCTTAACACTTAAACACAGATGAGCTGCTACCTTGAGTAGCATTCAGGATCCAGGGTCAGCTAGATTTCTGCCTGCTAGATTTCACTGGAATTGCTACATTTAAAGCAGAGAAACAAGATTCAAGGTTTCCGAAAGCTTTAGCAGACGGATAGGCTCGTCAATCAGATTAAGACTTACTAGGTTGTTAAACAACAGCTCAAAGCCTTGGTTATCATTTCTCTAGAAAAACAGGTTTAAAAGAACTCAAAAACCATTGCCATCACTTAACTAGATTATCATATGTAATTATACTGCTTCACTCAGAATGATAAACAAGGATAGAGTTTCAGAATTCTAGCTTTTCACCCCATGTGTGAATTCACACACCTTCCTTTTATTCCCCCCTCTTTTTTATTTTTCTCTCCATTTCTGCACAAAGTCAGTTGAAGGGACTGGCACACAAGTTATTAGTGAACGCAGACATGTACATGACCATATTAGAGTTTCATGAAGATTTCATGCAATGGTGTCTTGCTCTTCTATTCTAAAAGAGAACAACTTTCACAGGTAACACATACAACACAATTTTCTGATTTTAAATGCAGTGAGTTACACAAAGAATATTAATAGGAATTGACCAGACTTAATAACTGGAACTGCGCTAGGTCTGGCACTTGAGAATTCACAGTGATTAAAATAAAACTGCTTTGCCTAAGACAAAACATAAGATACCAAATATATAAAAACTCTTTGCTTCTATTATCTTGTATTAATATTCCAACAGCAATAAGCAAGCTCAGTAGTACCTCAGACAGCAGAGACTTCTGCACATAGTTAACTTTATTCATTGTTTGCAGAGCAATAATTTTTTTAAAAAATATATTCATGATGTCAAATCAAGCAATTTTCAATGCATAAAGTCAACACAGGCTCAAGTCTTTGATTCTGACAGGAAACCATTCTCTACCATGTCATTTTGGGTACCCAACTCCACACTGTGCCAGGTGGTATTGCTGTTAAAGAGAAACTTAAGGTATACTTGCGTATTACTGAAGTGTTCTGGCAGCAAGTTGTTTGCCAGCATAGTACCAGGTGATAATACAGGAGTAAAGCATTTGCCCTTTTCTTTCCCCCTCAACTCTCTAATCCTAGTAGATCCACTAACACAGGATTATGATACTGAAGCCTGCTTTTAGAGAGAAAGGAGCACAGCTTTGAAACACCCCAGCGTTTCTCAGCCCATCCGCTGGCTCTCATTTCAGCACCGAGGGCCCAGCCAAAGCAGCTGCTCTCGGGAGCTATGAGCTCCCAGAGCCCCGCTGACCCACTGGGCTCACTGTGACACCACCGAACTGAGAGTTAAAGCAAGATACTCAGGACCAATCTGGCTGGAGTCTACGAGTGTAAATGAGCACCCACTCGTACCTGCCTCACCTTCTGTGCTACACCTTAGGGCACTTTGGTCCATGCACCCACCTCCCAGACCTCCTGCTCCGCGGCCTTATCCAAAGACATTGGACTTTGGCCTGAGCTTGAACGACGTTTTGAGGGATTTCTCCTCATGCTCTTCTTCCTCGGTTTCACCACGAAAGGAGGGCGTGTTGTGGATGATCTGAGTCCTGAAGCGGATCTTATTAAGCCGAGGTTTCATCCGTCCACTGCTGGAGGCTTTCCTCGTCATCTCCTTGCCCTTGCCTGGCACTGCTGCCCCGTCGGTGCCCTCAGCTTCCTCCCCAGTGCTGTGATGGTGGTGGGAGAGCCTGTAGTTCATGAGGTTGGACGGCAACACCTTGGACAGCCTCCAGCGCCCGCTCCCATTGCCAGCATTCCCTTCCTCCTCTTCCTCCTCCTCCAGGGCCCCCACGAGGCTCCGCATGTCGCCCGAGGTGCTGCGGTGCAGGTACTGCGCAGCCTTGCGCCCGCTGTAGTCGCGGATGTCCACGTCGGCGTCGTAGGCACCCACGAGCAGCTTCACCACCTCGGCGTGTCCGTGCATGGCGGCGATGTGCAGCGCCGTGTGCCCGCCGCTCGTGCGGGCGTTGATGTCCACGGGCAGCCGGTGCCGCTGGGCGAAGTTGACCAGCGTGGCCAGCAGCTCCTGCCGCCCGTGCTTGGCGGCCCAGTGCAGCACCGTGAAACCGGTGATGAAGTCCCGCTTGCAGAGCAGCGTCGGCTCGCAGCTCAGCAGCCCCTCCAGGCTCTCCCACCGACCGTCCGAAGCCGACAGCATCCAGGCGTGCTCCAAGGGGTCCAGAGCCACGGCGCCGGTGGTGCTCCCCTCCTCCTCGGCGGACGACGAGGCCACCGAGGCGCTGTCCGAGTCGCGGCCGCGGCCCCCGCCGGGGAGGGCGCCGCGCTTCAGCTGGGGGGAGCCGCCCCGCGCCCCCTCCCGCAGGCTCCGGCGGCCGCCGCTCTGCGCCGCCGCCCCGGGGGCACCCTCGGCCGCCGCCGCCGCCTCCGCCGGCGGGGGCCGCCCCGGGCCCTCCGCTACCGCGCTCTCCTCGCCACCGCCTCCGCCGCGCCCGGGCGGCGGCCCCCGGCGGGAGCCCCTCCGCTGGACCCCGGCCACCGCCGTGCTTGGCCGGGGCGGCTCTCCCCGCCGCCCCGCGGGCTGCGGGCGGCTGCCGGCATCCTCGCCCGCTGCCGCCGGCGGCGGCGCCTCCTCAGCGCCCGCCCGCGGCGAGGGCGGCGGGCTGGACCGCTCCGCGCTGTTTCTCACCGCCGGCGGCGGCTCCTGCTCCCCGGGGGTCTCGGTGGCGGCGGCCGGGGGCTCCGGGGCGCAGTACCGGCGGCGGAGGTGCACGTACTTGACTCCGGTGCCGGGCTCTTGGCGCACGGTGGCCACGGCGTTGACCAGCTCCTTGAAGCGGTGCCGGGCGGCGGCGCGGCGGGCGGGCTCCGCGGGGCTCAGCCACTCCCGGAAATGCTCCAGTAGCTCCGCGTTGCGCGCCCTCCCGCCCCGCTCCGCCAAGAACCGCACCACCGACTCCTGCCGCAACTCCGCCGGCTCCGCCATCGCCGCCGCTACCCCATCGCGCCGCGCCGCTCCTCCTGCTGCTGATGCCGGTGGTGGCGCGGGCGCGGCAGAGCCGTCGCTGCCCTCGCCCCTCCTCCCGGTGGCTGCCTGCCCAGCAATCACTGCCGCGGCACAGGCATCGCGCCGCCCTCCGGCCGGGAGGCGCCCGCCACCACTGCCCGCCTCGGCGGCGGAGCCGGGACCGCATCCCCGCCCCGCGCTCCTCCCCGCCGCGTGGCTCTCGCCCTTCGGCGGCAGCTGCGGGCGCGATTTTCCCTTCATCCCTGCTTTCCTCACTTTTTCCCTTCCTCGCCTGGTGAGGCGATGGCTGCTTCCGATGCCGATCGGCACCCGGTAAGTCCCCTCCGGGTGTGGGAAGGGGCTGGTGAGCAGCCCTATGAGCTGGGGGTCACCCCGGCGCGGCTGAGGGCACGGATGGCCCGCCAGCGCCGGCACCGAGAGGGGAAGGAGAGCGGCGGTAACTCTGTGCCAGGAGGTGGAAGTGCCGCCCGATCTGAGCTGCCCTCGCCGCGGGGCACCGGGGGCTGCGTGGCGGGCGCTGATGAGGGCCGCGTCAGGGCGGGGGTCGGGACTGCGCGGGAGGTGGATCCTCCCTCCGCAATCCCGGAGCTGCCAGGCTTTTAGAACACTTGTTGTTAAAGGAACTTATTGACAGATGTCACCCTTCTTAGCGCTCCTCTGGCGCATTGCATATTTCAAGTAATAAGTGGAGTCGTGGCTATTGAAGAGTTGCTTCTGCTTCATGGTAAAGCTGCCGGCTTTACCACGCTCTGAGGACGTCGAACCCATCCACGCGCCAGTACTGGAGCGTTAGTTCCCTAATGCCCACACCTGTCCGTGGTTGTGGAAAACTCAAGGCGCTGAAATAGTCCCATTCGGGATGCCCATGGGCAATGTGGTGATGTCCCCCCTCGGGGCTGATGCCCAGGCATCCTTTCCCAGGGCTTCTGTGCAGCCTGCGTAGCCTCCTGGGGCTGGCGGGACCCTCGCCTCCTGCCCCGGCACACGTCTGTTACTTTTTTTTTAGGTTTTGAACAGCAAATTTCAGTCATCTCTACCAGCCCAGTGGAAAGCTAGCTTTTTGCTTGGACTGCCGGTTTGGTCCTGCAGAGGCTTATGCAGAAAGATGCTTGTAGTCTTGAGACCCAGCTTTTGCTGGGGAATGGCCCAGCGTTGTGCAGTTTTAGTCAGAAATATGTGGCAGATTTAAAAGATAACTAATTTTTTTAGTTTCTTTCTGCAAGAAAAAATAATTTTTAAATGTTAAGCTGTCGCAGGCAATGATTTGTCTTTGCATGCTGTTTTTAATGGGCAAGATGACTTGATATACACTGAAATACTTGATTAAATCATAGAGTGGTTTGGGTTGGAAGGGACTTTAAAGATCATCTAGTTCCAACCCCCCTGCTGTGGGCAGGGACACCTTCCACTACATCAGGTTGCTCAGAACCACGTCCACTGTAATGAATCTGCAGAAATCTAGATGCATTAGCTGTGCTACCAGCCTTTTAAAAAAGGGGTGAGGGAAGGAGTGAGATGTAATTTAGACCATCTCAGGCTATCTGTATTACGTGCTGTTTTGTTCAGAGTATCAATTCTGAGGAAGCAGTGAGAAACAGGAAGTATTTATGGGAATATTGCAGCTTTACTAGCATCCAGATGATAAGGTTTGAATTATTCACTGAATAAAATTGAATGAGATGCTGTCTTCAAGCATAATTAAGCTGCACCATGCAACAGATACTAATTCGAAGAGACTGGCTAGTAAGGTAACTGAATTGCTTTCAGTGTGATCTACAGTTCGTAATTTAGGGTTAGATTTCTTACTGTAGGGTAATTTTAGATTAGATATTAGGAAGAAATACTTTACTGTGATGGTGGTGAGGCACTGGAATAGGTTGCCCAGAGAGCTGTGGATGCTTCATCCCTGGAAGTGTTCCAGGCCAGGTTGGAGCATCCATGGACTTGGAGCAACCTGGTCTAGTGGAAGATGTCCTTCTTTAGGTCTTAAGGGATCCCTTCTTAAGGGATCTTTAAGGTCCCTTCCAACTGAAACCATTCTATGATTCTATGATTTTTGAATTACCACCATTTTTCTAATCTGGCAATACACTAGTAACTTGTTTTTCAACTACATGATGTATTATTTCTTTTGGAAGTAGTAGTTGTTGACAGATTTTTTTTTTTCAGACTTTGGCTTTTCTTCATTGCATGTAAATCGCAAGGAATGTGTTCCAGCTTACTATTAGAGTTAATTTGTTGCAATTGCTAACTGCTTTGCAAATAGCTTCATTAACATATTTTTAAATTATTTTTCTGTAGAAAAATGATGACTGTCGAACTTTATCCTTGTCTGCGCATGTTGGGTTTGATAGTTTACCTGACCAGCTGATTAAGAAATCCATCAAGCAGGGCTTCTGTTTCAACATTCTTTGCGTTGGTGAGTAGTATCTGGGTGCTTCAAGGCTTTAGTAATATAGCTGTCCTTAGGAACTGAAGTAACTGAAGGTAACTGAAATTTAAATCCACTTGTGGTGTTAAACAGTTTCTTTAATGTTAAGCATGAACTATAATTCTACCCCTTCCCCTAGCTTTGCTTATTTGTGTCCATTCTTTGGTTTTATGTTTAGCATTTTTGTAAACAACATGAAGACCAAAAATGTTGAAAACCGATGCTATGAGTTTATTGGTTTGTCAGCATTTTTTGGATTCTTCTGAGTGAACTGGACTACACTTGTAACAAAGAGCTTCAGGTTAAAATCCTAAAATTCCAAGGTGGTGTTGCTGAAGTGTTTTTATACTTATCAAATATTTGCTCTAGTATTTTACCCTTATTCATAAAAACCCTTTGTTGAACCTTGTATTTTCACAGCTAGCTATGTAACTTCTTAAAATCTGTAGGAAATTAGTTCATACTTTTAAAGAAATCAAAGTGTCAAGAGACTGTTCTGCTTATTACTCATTAGCTGGTAACTTACCCTAATATGTAGGATGAAAAAAATTTGGTAAAAGATATTTAGTGTTCAGTAAAGGAACGCAGGAATGCATTTTGCTTGGAGAAGTCAATTGAGAAGTTTTTGTGTAAATTTGTTGAGTTTCTGTGGTAGCACTCTCTATGCTTATTATGTATTTACTTGATGTCCAAAATGTCTTCCCCAACCCTTCTGTTTAACTTTAGGAGAAACTGGAATTGGGAAATCTGCCTTGATGAACAGTTTGTTTAACAGCAATTTTGAGGACCCTCCATCAACACATTTTCTGCCAAGTGTACAACTTAGAACCCAGACTTACGAAGTTCAGGAAAGTAATGTTCTTTTGAAGCTGACCATTGTAAATACAGTGGGATTTGGTGACCAGGTGAACAAAGGAGATAGGTCAGTGCCCTTGTGTCCCTATGTTATGCAGAAGTTTTGGTCCTAACGTCAAGTTGATTTATCTTTGGGCTTTGTAGTGAATGTTTGGCTTACATATGTTCTAAATATATTGTTAACTGTTTTTACTGTGTAGCAAAGTAAACACATTTTTCTTTTCATGTAGGAAATTCCTTCATGAATCAGATGAAATCTACCCCTTTACTTGTGATATATTCTTTTATAAATGTGTGTACATACAACATGCAGTAGTTTCTTTTGGGGCATAGGAAAGCAGGGAGGCCAAAGGGAGGCTTTTTAAACAGCCAAGGAGTTGGTCAAGTACTGTAGATTGGGACATGTTGAAGACCTTGAACTGGAAGTAACATCCTGTGGATTACTGAAGGCCTCTGTTCTTTATGTTGGATGGATTTGTAGAGGTAGTGCACTAGTGTCTTTCCAAACTTTTTTTGAGTCTCTGCTTTTATGAGTTGAAGATTTTACAGTATACGGAGCTGTCTCAGCAGATTTTGTTTCTTTTACCCTAATTGTAAAGAATTTATGCTATTTGAGTGCCTAAATGGTGGCAATAATAAATGAAGGCTGGAGAGTCATGTTAAGATTGTCGTGAGAGCCATGGTTTATGGTATATAACTGGATTATATGATAAATGTAAGGGTATGCTGCTTCTGCATCTAGAAACACTTCCTTTTTGAAAGCAGATTATAATCTGGTTTTAAGTAGGATAAAGTATACTTAGGCTGTACCTGTTTAGATTTACATTATTCTTCTACATTTCTCATTTTCAGTTTTTATCTATTGTTTAAGAGCTCTCTCATTACAGTACTTTAGAAGATAAAGTTCTGTCCTGTTTCTTGATACTATTGGTTGCATATTTTTTCTTTTCTTGTATTGTACCTAAGAGGTTATTGTGTCTTTCTTATATCTAAGAGTTCTGCGTTTGCACAGCTTGATGGCAAAAATTTAAAAACATCACTTGGGAAGATCAGTTGTAATCATAATTAACTTTGTGTACCTTTTTCCACTAATGGTAGCTAGGAAATGTTTTATCTGTATTAGATACACAATTCTTTTTTGAGTTGCTTTTCAGAAATTAAGATTAATCTGTGCATTTAATTTTTTGCTCTGCTTTAGCAGCCTTTTGACACGTAAAGCAAAAATCCATAAAACAATGCAAGAGGAATTCCCTTTTTAGTTTGACTCCGTTTAGGAGTAGCTAATCTCTAGTTTTTAAATTTTATTTCCTACAGCTATCAGCCAATAGTGGATTATATAGATGCACAATTTGAAGCCTATCTCCAGGAAGAACTGAAAATTATACGTTCTTTATTTAGCTACCATGATACTCGCATCCATGTCTGCCTCTATTTCATCTCACCTACAGGACGTTCCCTAAAAACCCTAGATTTGTTAACCATGAGAAGCCTACACAGTAAGGTAAGACTTTGAAACAGAGTTCCAAGAGTTTGTCTTCATTTCTGAAGCATCTTGAAGCTTTCAGGTCCACTACCACCTTTCAATTTTATATCTGTGTGTTTGATTTTGCAGTGTGTTGGTTTTTTGGGTGCTGGTGTACCTTAAGTTTGGAATAAATTATCTCTGCAAGTAGCTTGCAGTTCATCACTTGTTTATTCACAAGTCAAAAGGAGAGAGACATCCAACAAGAACATTGAAAAAAAGTACAGCATGGTTTGAAAAAATAGTAAAAGAAGTAGAACTACACCAACTTTAAAACCGTAAATATCATATGGAGATTGGATAGGGTACCTTCCATGAGTGCTGTGGTATTTCTAATTAAGCTTGTTTCTAGTTCTGGGGCTGCTGGAAAGTTGGCATATAAAAGGCTTTGCAGTACTATGAAGATCTTTGTTTTAGATAAGTGAAGAGGCATGTGCCACGAACAGAACACCCTGCCAATGTGGCTTTTTCAAAGATAGACTGCAGTAGTGTTTTAACATGTTTATTTGTTTAGAAAGCTTTAAAATAGCAGTTTCCAGTGTAATTACTTGCACTTCCTAAATCCTTAATTTTTTTCCTGTAAATAGGACTGTGTGAAGTAGATGAAGCTAAATGTTTAACCTATTTTAAGAAATCTTACATCATTTGGATTCAATTTGTTGAAATGTTGAGAAATATGAAAACTTAAATGCATTTTCTGTGCCTTTAGTCCTTTCCTTTGTGCTTTAATAGAGCCCCTCCTTGCTAGATTTTCTTTCTGCATTTTCTTGACACTTCTCCAAGATAAGAAGGATTAAATCAGCTGTCTAGTCTGTGTTTGTGATAATGAGCATGTTTGGGATTTTTTTAAAATTTTGTTTGTGGATGTATTTTGCATTTTGAACCTTCTCAATAGCACAGAGCAAGTGGAGTGAAGGTGTGGTGGTACAAAGGTAGGGGAGAGCGGGGTCACTTCTGTGTGCTGTGTTGTTGGTTTATGCCAGATTTAAATGTTTATGAAACTACTCTAGAAAATAGGACAATCTCAAGGACCGTGTTCTACACTGAGTTTTGAAGTTGGAGTTTGTGTTTAATCACAAAAATACTTGTTTTGTAGGTTGTGCCCTCTCCCTTTAGAACAGTGTTTCTTTCAAAAGAAAATTATATAGATGCATGATTCTCAGCATCCTGAGTAAATATTTCCATCAGAATAACTAAAAGTAATTCTGCTTTGGGGAATTTGGCTCCTAGCCACCTACTGTAATTATTTTTAGTTCTGCTTTGGCACAAAAAGAACATGAACCACATGGAACTTGATTATTTTATCCCTTTGCAATGGATTTTACTTTCTGATTTTACTACTGAAATACACAGTAAAAGTATATACTTTAACTGTAGCTTGGTTTCTGTCTTATAGTGTAACATACTTGTGGTGCTTTTGGTACTGCATTCTCTTATGCCTATTAAGAATTTGGGATTTCCTAGAATGTGGAAATCCCTGGGTGCATTTTCTGAGAACAGGGTTCCCTAAAGAGAAGATGTTACAGCCACATCAAATGTGTAAATCTATGTCAAAAAGCTGCTCTCAGTTTCTTCCTAAAGCCACCACAGTGTACATCGTGTGCTTTTGTTACGGTCTGCTTGGTACAAAACAAGACCAGATTACATAGCACAGAGGTAGAGAGGGCTCTTGGAATAAGATAAGGTCATTGTGTACTCTGTAATCCTGGGAGCAAAACACCAGAGTATCTGTGGTCAGTTAATTTTTCTCCAATTATAAATTGGATGACTGGCTAAGAATTTGGGCTGTAGCTTTTAGGCATTGAAAAATCCTATAGTTTTGCTTAGGATGCGATCACTACAGACCAGCCAGGTTTCATTCACAGATTAAGGGAATCTTTTTCTGTACCCTTTCTTGCTGGGAATAGTGATTATTCAACTAAGAGATCTGCAGTTTTAATTCATTCTTATGGAATTGCGTACAGGTTACAGTTAAGTCAGGAAATTACATGAGTGTACTTTGTGGGGTTTGAGGTTTTTTTTCCTTCGGAAAGAATCTTTGGAAATTTTTGTATTGATTCATAGAGATACTCTTAAATCAGCTTGCTCTTGCAACCAATAATGATTTCAAAAATATATAAATTTCCATAATATGTATGTGTTTAAATTCTAATACAATGGCTGTGATGTAACATCGATGTTGACAGCTGTAGTCACAGTTTCTGAGGATTTTGCTTTTCTTTTGTTACTGATCTCAGTAGTCTTTCTCTGCTATTCATTTTCTAAGAAATTCTCTCCTAATTAATGAGTGTTTGAAAAACTTTGCTGTTGAAAATATAGAATAGAGGTTAATTTGATTCTCAGGACTCTCTGTTCCATCCATTTTTAGAACTGTATTATAAAAAACCTAAATTGATGTCCCTCAGCTAATTTGATGCAAGCTGTGAATTATCCTACCTGTCCTCACTTATTAAAAAAATATATTCCAGCATTTAATTTGATTTTAGATATTTTACCCAATAGGTGCTTTGGTTGCGTAGGCTACACAGATAAGGACTATCATCATGCAGTCTTAGAAGTCATGCTTCAGAGTTGGCTTGCTTCCTTTTTGTTTGGACATTTTGCTTAGGACAGAAGTGTTATTTGAAAAATATCCATTTTGAATCTGTTCTTGAGTTTCCATGCTTAGGCATTTCCATTCAGACAGCATAATCAAAAGAATAGAAAATGTGTGGGCTTATATTTTTTTTTCTTCTCTCTTTCCGTTTTGTATCTATGATCAAAGAATTCTGTAAAATTCTCATCTTCTGAAAGATCTGGAAGAATTATTTGTATTGTTCTTCCAGAATACTTGGATATTAGCGTTCATTATTTGTATCTAGTTCTGAAAAATGTGTGTTTCGGAAGCAGTGTCAGGATTTAAAAAAAAAAAAATAGCATCTACTACTGTCCTAAGTTACTGCCACAGCTATTTTAGGAAATAGGGCAGATTAGTAGAACTGAATTTCAAGTTCTGAATAATTGGTGTAAAGTCTGGTAAGCAAGATTCTTCAGTCTTTGTCCTTCCTCTGCTCACATCAGATACTTGAGAAAGTCTTTGCTGCAGTGGTGAGGTGAAGATGATGTTGTAGCTGAAAGGAACCCAAGGAAGAAGCTCGGGGTAGGCAGGGTTTGATAGCCAGTTTCCTTTTCTTTGTGAATATAAACTCTCAGCTTTCATTTAACACCTAAACCACATTCTCTGGTGCTAGAAACTAGAACAGTCTGGTTTTTTAGTAGAAATATAAATAATGACATTTAGTTAATGGGTAGGCATTATTGTTCTTTTGAGTACTCCACTGTATGACCTCCTTCCTTGTTCTTTTCTCATATTCAATTAATTTTCAGGAAGAATTAAATAATCTGTTGCTATTTTGTTAAATGATGCCCATGAGCATATTTCTAATGATTTGTGAAGCTTTGATGTTAGTTGATGGAAAACTTTGGGTTGGGGAGAAGTTAAAGAGCTTATTAGAAAACAATGTAAGTTACAAAAGCTGTCACCTTAAAATTGAAGTCTCACACATTTCATATAATTTATATCATTAATAGGTGAACATTATACCAATTATAGGCAAAGCAGACAGCATTTCTAAAACTGAGCTACAGGAGTTCAAGAGCAAAATAATGAGTGAATTAGTTAGTAATGGCATCCAGATATACCAGTTTCCAACTGATGATGAAACTGTTTCTGAAATTAATACCATCACGAATGTAAGTAAATGACAAAACCATTTATATTTCAGTACTAAAGCATCACTCTCTAATGTTGATTATTGGAATTTCTTTCACCATTATCTTGAAGTTTGTAAGTTTGTATGTCCTGGGTTTGTTTGTTTATTTTTCTCTCCTTAAAAATCTCATATGTTTTGGCTTTTTCCTTCCCTACTTGAAAATCTTCCTGTCCCTCTGCTGTTGATATCACTTGTTTGGTTTTTTTTTTTTCTGGCTCGGCAACAGAAAAGAGGTTCTCATGCATAAATACTTTTTCTAATTTCTGGATAATTAATATATAATTACTATTATGGATAGACATTGACTTTGCCCTTTTCATCAGCAAAACAGCTTAACATGTGTTACAGAAGTATCTAGGTGCCTTGTGTTTCCAGCTTCCTCTGGTCTTTATCACGGCAAGTCTTCTGCCTGCATTTTTTTCTTTTATTTAGTACTTTCATTTGAAATTAGAGCAAATTTTCTCTGGGGATGAAAAGGTCAGATATAATTCTGGCTTATTTTCTATTGTCCTTTCAGATCCTCCCAGGATTAGCTGCCAGCTTCAACTAAGCTTCTGAGGCTAGATGACTTTGTTTTGAGCACTGTGCGTTTGTTTATGTGCAAGTGTTTGTAGATGCACATGAGCATATGTTTGTTTGTACCCAGGTTTGAAAGCAGGGAGCAGGAGCCGGTGTGCTGGAGTGCGTGGCTCTGCATCCCAGCCTCTGTTACTTGGCCAGGCAGTGACCATGTGCAGCTCTTGGTCAGTGACAGGTCCTTCTGCTGTGGGGAAGGGTGGTGGGCTCTTACCTACCCCTTCCATGCTCTGCTTAGTGATGTGTTTTCCACTTTATGATTTTTGTTTGCTTGGTCAGTTGCTGTGGGTCAGCAGGCAGGCAGTCAGCCGTTTGGGCAGCCCACAGCAGTAACTGCACCATCGGTTCCAACCCGTGATTGTCACATGACTGTGACTGGGGATATGAACTCTGACTGAATGCGAATCACGTGTTCCAGAGCAGCTTTCTGTTTGCTGATGATGCTCTTCCTCATTCAGGATGTAGTCGGCTGCCTTTGCCATTGGGGCAGACCTGCTGAATAAGGTCCAACCTGCTGTTCACCAGGTTCTTGTCCCCACATCTTATTCTGCAAAGTGCCTTTCCAGACACTCGGCCCTCAGCGTGTGCTGGACCATGGGTTTGTTCCTCCTGACGTGCAGGGCTTGGCATTGCTCTCATTACCACTGCATGAGATGCCTGTTGGCCCATTTCTCCAGCCTGTCGAGGTTCCCCTGAATTGGCAGCACACCCATCTGGGTCTGTGAACCAATCCTGCTGTTGTTATTGTAGCTTGACTTTTGTATCAGTAGATAGTGACTAGCTACTGATCTCTTCAAAGTGGTTTTTGGTTTGAAATCGCCTGTTGGACTTCCCTGAAGTGGTGTTTTTCCCCCTAATTTATTTCTGAAGTGTTTTTCAGTTGTGGCATAAGAATGAGATAAGACTTGAGAGATAAGACTTGATTGGTATGACTCTTACAGGGTCATTTGCCTTTTGCCGTGGTAGGAAGTACAGAAAAGGTGAATATTGGAAACAAAATGGTGAGAGCTCGTCAGTACCCTTGGGGCACTGTAAAAGGTAAATGAATTCTCAAAGATGTTTTTATGAGATTTTTGCTGTTGTTGTTGAAGTGTAAAATTCACCAGTAATACAAGGGGCTGGTCCACTGATGCCATGCTGATTGTATTTTGGATCAACAGCTTAAGAAGTTTAGCAATTAATATTTGAGGTGTACACTAACTGGTAGTTTTATCAACACTGATACATCCTTGGAATCAAGGTATGAGATGGTGTATGTAGTATTTGGGTAGGGTAGTATGGTGACTGTTCCTGTAGCACTACCAAATTTCAAACTGTATGATTGTCAGTAAAGAAGGGGGTAAAAAAGAATAAATGTGGTGGTGTTCAGCTCAAACAGGAAATCAAGACACTTTGAAACATGTTCACCAGTACTTACGGTTCTTCGGTTCTTCAGTGTCGTATGTAAGAAATTACAAGGAAGTATAAGAGGTATAATAAACAATGCTATACCTTTTTCTAGAAGTATGTTTAGTAAACAAAATAAATGAATCTCAGTGCTGTTTGAAATGTATTATAACTATTTTGCTACTCGTGCATAATAATAAAATCTTTTTCTTTTTACCAATTAGTGGAAAATGAGAACCACTGTGACACTGTAAAGCTTCGCAAGATGCTTTGCACAAATATGGAAGACTTAAGAGAGAAGACTCATGCACAACATTATGAGTTGTACAGACGCTGCAGACTGGAAGAGATGGGTTTCAGAGACATTGGCCCCAAGACCAAACCAGTCAGGTAAAGGACTTCATGTGCAGCACTTGCTTTCAGCATCCATTCACCTCACATTTGACTGTATCAACCCAATACAGAGCAGTGTTCATACACAAAATAGGTTTTCTATGAGGGAAAGAAAAGTTTGGGTTTTTTTAAATCAAAGGATGTAGCTGTTCATTCAGTTATCTTCACGGAGAAGTGTATGGGATTAAGTGAGCATTGCTTTTAAAGACATGCAAGTGAGATGTATTTTGAAATCTTTCTCTTTTATTATAAACCTGGGGATTTTAATTTTTCTCAGGAAAAATGTCTGCTTTCTTCAGGTACATGTACTTTATTAATTTTTTAATTATTTTGTAATCGGTCAGAATCCCGATGGGAAAGAACTGATGCATCAGGAGTTGTTCATGGTTTACTGAAGTGCTGTGATTGCATAAGTGGGAAATACTGACTTAAACCAGGCATGAAAACCAAATAATACTTTGCATTAAGAACAGTTTCTAATGATTGGAACCTACTAGTTTGTTGATGATTTACTTAGTGATCAGAATGTCTTTACCCATTCTGTTCTGGTAAAAATAAATGTCTTCCCTCCAAACAGTTGGTTTTAGTGGCTTAAATTCTTTGCTTTCACCTGTTCTTTGCACAGAAGTTTTAAGTAAGTCGCGGTTACTGTAACTTGTAGAAATGGAGCAGCATTTCTTTCACTTTGACTAGATCTAGTTCATATATTGTTCAAACAATAAAAATTAAGTAAGATTAATGTAGACAAGGAAAATGCTGGATGTGGACAGTTTTTTCTGAAGTCCTAATGTCAAGGCTCATTTGCAGATTAGTTCATTTAGATGATCTTGACCTGTCCATGTCTCACAGTAACCTCTTGAATATTCTCTTGACTTAACAAGAAAGGAATACATCCTTTTCATAGAGAACCAAAGGTGAAAGAGGTTTAAAACCAACTGAAATTAACCATAGCCTTTCATTTGGTTTAGGTTTAAGAACGTAGGTTAACAGATAATGTCTCATTGTCTTTGTCCAGGGGAAGCTTTTTTTAGAGATTTGTTCATGGCAATACTGACTGCAGTACCTTTGGCTTTTCTGAACTTGAATGTCACAATGTACAGCCATCTCAAGAAAGAAGTTAAATTATAAAAAGTATCATCCACAGAAGTATTTTCTTCCACAAACTCAAGAATTCTCTTTGTAAAACCCATACACAGTTTGATTTTACTAATGGTCTAAAATGGTAGGTTTGTATCAGAATGTGCTGGTATTTTACACTTCAGAAGCTGGTTTAGAAATCGATTACTTCGTGGATGTACAGAAGAGTTGAGTTCCCTCTGGTGTGTAGTTTTTATGTATGGCCCACTAAATGTCAGGTTTATTGAGAGATTTTTGGCAAGAAAGTACGTTTAATAATTAGTTTTGGTAAACTGGATCTATTGAAAATGTCATTTATTTGGAAGGATGAGAATAGATGTTCCACAGGACTCCAGAAAACAAACTTTTCCCCAGGTTTACTGCAACAGGAAAAGCATGACTAGGGTGGGTGTGGTTGTCCCTCAGTTGTGTGGCATAGTGAATGACACAGAGGTCTGAAAGAGAAGGTGTTTGGTGTTTTGGGAGAGATGTTTTATGATACCATAAGAAAGGAAGAGAATTTAGGGATCTGTATGCAGTGTAATTAGCAGACACCCATAAGGTGTTTTATAAAGCTACTGAGGAAACCATAAAAAGTGTCATCCTCAGCAGTGTGATAGAAAATGTCTTTTTACTAGAGGAAGTTCAGTGCTTCCTGTTTTGATGACTTGTACATTTAAATATCTTTCAGAATAGGGACTATCCAGTTGTTCTAGGCAAAAATGTGTTATTAAATTGTCATCCTCTTTGTCCTTAAAGATGTTTACAATATATACAGGTGGATTCTGAGAGCTGTAGTTTTAAAGTCAAATTAATATTGCATAGCAGTATATACCTTATGATTAAAATTTTATGCTGCTTGTGTAAATAATGATCAAAATGCATGCCGAGAAGTCATATTTTGTGCCTCTGATGTAGCTGTCTACGTATTAAATTTGATAATCTGAATTGGGTTATTTGATGTAAATTTAGAAAACTTTTGCTAGACTTGAATAATTGGCTATTTGTAGCATTTGAACATCAACACTTGAGACACTTTTAGCATGTTGTGAAGGTGCATGTGACATTCCTCTACCACTCTTTTGAAGTACCGCAGTAGTTTATTCATCCAAATTTGTAAGCCACTGCAAAGCAAACCCAGTAATTCTTGGGTGTTCAGCTACCTTGTGAGGTAGGTTGTGGGCAGACATCTGTAAAGGCTTTTCACTCACATGTGAAAAATCACATTGGCAAGCTTTATTTTTTATGGGAGATGTAGAAAGGGATGGATTCAGCACACAACAGAAAAATATGTTTGCATCTATATTACTAGGTGTGAGAAGGGAAAATAAAGGTAGTAACAGTCTGAAGTGACTGTTTTGTGTACACTTTTAAAATACCTATTCCCTATATTTTCCTATATTTTTTGTGAAGCTGTTTCATAATAGCCTTTTTAATTTATTTATTTGCAATTACATTCTAAGAATGAAGTAATGAAGTCAGCGGATAGCAGAGTATATGTGTTATGGTTTATGCATTTTATCTGTTGTATTTTTTTTTTACTGCTTAAAATTGGGATTTGCCTATCTTTGTTGTTGAAAAGTAAAGACAGGCTATGTTTTGCTTGTGGATGATCTAGTACTGCCTTTTCCATGGTCCAATTATGTCCATTTGGAACATGAACTCCTACTTTCAGGTCATTCTCGGTGAGAGATATTTGCTGAGACATTTTGAATAGAAAAATTGGGAATAGTTGAAAACAGAAATCTGGACGTGAAGAGTACTACCAGCAAAGCAAACTTCTAAATATATTCACACATGTAGTTAGGTTAGGTGTTTGGATGGAAGGAGAGGAATAGTAGCATTTTGAAGCTGGACATTTTGTTAAGTCCGTTTTTTGGTCTAGGGGAAGTTGGTGCCCAGAGGGACTTCCTTGATTTGAAAGAAGAAAACTAATAGACCAGCGTCTGTTGAAAAAAGCTGAAGATTGATATTCAGGCTGTGTGCTTGCATTTAGACTCTCTGTTAATCATTGTCTGGTTTAGCTGTTTTTCTGTCACCATAATTGCAATTGTTTCTTCATCATAATTGCAATTAAGCATAATTGTAACATAAGCAGCTTGTTTGCTCAGTACGTGAGGAATCATATATTCCATGCTTTATTCCTCCATGAAACTGGGATATTCAGACCTTGCTGTTCTTGAACTTGTTTATATTTCAATCTGTTTTGAAGATGATGATAGAAAAGCAGGAAGGATTCAGTAATATGAATAAAGTTTATGTGCAGGAGAAGGTTGATATGACTCTTGTTGTCTTTTCTAAGAAAAGAAACCTAATATCTGAAAAGCTATTAGACTTTTTTCTTTAGAAGTCTCTTGGGAATGGAGTTCATCTGACCAGCTGCAGATCTTTGCATTTGAGCTCAATATTTTAACTGTCTTAAGGAGAGATTGAACTACATCCAAAATACCTATTTTTCATGCCTGCACTGGGAAAACGGTAATTATCTACATCTACAACAACCTTAGCATTGCTTAATATCAACTCAGGTAGTTAGGTAGTCAAGGCATCATGCTAGAAATACCTGCCAGTAGTTAACCTTTAATTTTCTTTGGTTTGTTTGGTTTGGTTGTTTTGTGGGTTCGTTTGTTTTGGGTTTTGTGTGTGTGTTTGTTTGGGGTTTTTGGTTTTCTTTGTTTTGGTTTTTTAGTTTTTCTGATATACCTTAATTGATAGTCAAATGTTATGCAAGAAGTTACTTTCAAATTTGAAAGCTTGAAAAAATTTAAATACCTATGTTCAAAGTGCACAAACATTGTGTTCCACTGGGAGTTGAATTCAATTCAGAGTCTTTATTTATGAACGTAACGTGTTTGATTTGCATCTTTAGGCTTCCATGCTTTAAGTCTTATGCAGACAGAGAAACTGTATGTCACAGCTATGCTTCTTCAGAAAGGTAGTGCTGGTGTGTATGATTAGTTTAGACTTTCTTCACAATCCCTTCCTCCAAAACCTTAATAAGAATGCATTATTTAAATAAGTAGCTATAACATTTAGATTTTTCAAGTGTCTTTGTACAGAGTATAAAATTCTGGAGGTCTAACCCAGAAGAATGAGAGAACCTATGAACTTGTTTTTCATAATGTTCTAAATGAGAAGCAGTGAAACCAGTCCTCAGATAAACTGAAAAGTGTTGTACTGTGAGTAATGGATGCAGTAATGTTGAAAGGATTGGCTTAAGATTTGGTGAACTACTTCCCCCTCCTCCCCAGACCTCCTAAAACCAAAGAGTGTTTGAGTCATTATGGTGCTATCTCCGAAATGCAGAAGAGGAGATTTTGTTCTAGTTTTGTCTTTGTGATTTCCAGAACAATTCAGTCCAGGGGGAGGGGGCATTTCAGAGGGTCATAGAATGGTTTGGATTGAAGGGGTCCTCAAAGACCATCTAGTTCCAAACCCCCTGCCATGGGCAGGGACGCTTCTCACTAGACCAGGTTGCTCAGAGCCCCATCCAACCTGGCCTTTAACACTTCCAGGGATGGGGCATCCCAAACCACCCTCACAGTAAATTTAAAATATTCACTTAATTTCTTCTCTTCCTTCTACACTTAATTTGATAACTTAGTAAATCCAGTGTCTTCAAAGTCAATCTTTTACTAATTTCAAGACAAAATTGCTTTTACCTGGTAAAGTAACCTAGGTTGAGTCTAAAGACATCCACATGAAGAAATGAAGGTGTGATTGCAGCATGTAAGCTCAGTCTAGCACTTGCTCTAGCAGCTGTATTGCACCCAAAGGCAGCATGTTTGCTGGCAGAACTGACACTGGGTGCAAAGGCGTGTCTGGTGTGAGACTGCTGGCACTTGAAAAAGCTGTGTTGTAGCTTTATTGTCTAAACTTAAGGATTCCGTGAATTAATGTATCTGTATGAAAACCATGCCCCCTTGTTATGTGATAGATAGAATTAGAATTTCAGGATGACCCAATTTACTTCACAGCTGGTTAAAAAAAAAAACAACAAACAAATAAAAAAACAAAGGGGTGATTGTTCTGAATATATTTTGTTGCTGTGTAGTGCTCAAATAAGATAGAATAGGAAGAGCACTCTGACCTTGATAACTTAAAAACATTGTCTGCATGTGCAATTTCAAGATGATTCTTCTCTCTCTTTAGATGATATTTTGAATACAAATAAGAAACTTTAGGACTGTGAAATTGCCCAGTCATCATAAATATAAATATAGAAGAGAGTAATTAAAGCTTACTGTTGCTCTAAATAATTAACTTTTTAAATGCCCTTTTAAGTAAGTCTTTCCATTTATAAACTTTTTAAATAGAAACAGTAAAAGATAAGACAAAACCTGATACGTAAGTATGGATATGTATTAAAAATATAAAGCAAAATTAAATATTTTATACACATACCTATTTATTTTACACTAGAGTGGAAGGCATGAGATACCTGGCAAAGGACAGTAACTGATGTTAGCTGAGAAGGGCTGACTAGTCAGTGCTCATGAAGTGTTAGAAGAGATCAGTGGTGTAACAGAAACAAAGAGCTTGAACATTATCCATGTTTTGATCTGTTCATAAGCACAATGTCCTAGAAGATAATGGGCAGGTGCTTTTGAGTTTCTAATAACCATTAGCACAGCTATGATCCACCAATTCTGCCTCTCTGGAATCCTGTGACTCAGAAAAGTTTGTGGTAAATGTTTTGATGGAAGAACTTGTGTCATTAAGCAGTTTTGTTTTCCATAGGCAGTGTGCACTTTGGTGTATCAGATACATCTGTGTCCAAGCTCCATTCATTTTTCCTTGAAAAGCTGAACACTTTCTGCCAGCACTGGGTGATAGCAGTGGGTACTATAGACCTCACACCTCTAGTAGTTTATTTGTATGAATAAATTACCAGTGTCTTTTAATTTGACATAATATGCTTTGCCACAAAAGAAGTATCTCAATTTTGAGTGCCTGTTGTTTGGACAAAAAACATTATCTTGTGTACTAAAAGGAAAGGGAGGCATAGATTTAAAAGTAAAGAGATGTTTTAGTTACTTGCTGATTTGTTCTGTTGCCAGGTATTTACTCAATGATCTGAACTAATTTGCACCTCCTGTATAATTTCAAATATAAGTATGCATGTATGCAGTGTATTTGCTTCTGGGAGAGAGGATTCAGGAAAACCCAAACAATCTTGAGGTTTTGACTAATGCACGTTGGAAAGTAACCCTGTCTTGGGAGCCCCTGGTGGTCTAGTGGTAAAGGCGCGGCGCTGTCACCGCCGAGACCCGGGTTCGATTCCCGATCAGGGCCACTCCCGGGCAGGTGGGGCTCGTTAGCCCTTGAAAGGCAACCCATCTACGTCCTAAGGACCTCGCTGCCACCGTCCAAGCTCGCTTGGCCCCGGCAGATGAACCTTAGGATTAAAGGGTGGGCTCAGTTCCGCGCACACTGTGTCTCACCTAAAAAATCCAATGCGCAGGCTGGAAGGTGGAAAGACCTTCCCCGGATCTTCGCTCGCAAAGACTGGCCATTATTATTACTTAGGAAATTGTTTTTATTCTATATTAATATAACTGCCATATTTAAATTTTGACATTACATAAAGAGGGTGCTATATATTTTGAAGATCCTGTTATTGTCTTTAATTTTCATACAGGAGTAATAACTTTTTTTAGTTGTGTTAATGTTCCATATTAATTGCTTTTTTAAGTTCCTACTTTAAGACTGAGGTTTTACAATGCGGAAGTTCTGGGGGATTTTTCTGGCAATTTCAGTGTTCCATTAGTAAGCAGCTTAAAGGAGAAATTTATGCATGCTGGAGTCAGCAAGGTATAACTCAAGTCTTTAGAACGTTAGATGCCTATAAGTGCTGTATTTATTTTGAAATGTAAATTGCCCAGGAGCAGTTAGCATAAATAATTTTACTCAGGGTTGTTTACATTAATAAAAAAATAGGAATATAAGATGCTTGCTTCTGTTCAGGTTTGTTTATGAATTTTTATGTGGGAAGCTGTAGAAGTTAATATTTCAGATGAATATTAATTGTTCAAATGATTTTCTAGATTGTTGGTTTTCCACATTGAATAAAGCAACGTGCTGGAAACTTGCTTGTTTTTGGACTTCAGTCTGCAGGAAGCCTATGAGACAAAGAGGCATAAGTTCTACCTTGAACTGCAAAAGAAAAGAAGAGGAGATTAAACAAGAATTTGTGCAGAGAGTGAAGGAGAAAGCAGCAGTGTTGAAAGAGGCAGAGCAAAAGGTAAGCATGCCTGTCTATATTGTTTGCTGAGCTTTGGAACAGTTAAGTTCTTAACAGAATCACTCGTTGATGTTTATAATTTCCTAATATTTTGAGGACAGTAATGCTTTAAATCAAAAGCAGATTGATTACACAGATTGATTGGTTTAGCAGATTGATTAGGCACAAGCAAACAAGAGAATATGACTTAGGAGGAGCAGCTGAGGGATTGATTAGCCTGAACTAAAGGAGGCTCAGGGGAGACTTTACTGCTCTTTAGAACTACCTGAAAAGAGGTTGTAGTGAGATGGGGATTGGTCTTTTCTGCCAGGTGACAAGATAAGAGGAACTGGCCTCAGGTTGTGTCAGGGGAGGTTTAGGTTGGATATTAGGAAAAATGTCTTGACCGAAGGGCTTGCTGAGCACTGGAACAGGCTGCCCAAGGCACAGTGGTGGAGTCACTGTCCCTGGAGGTGTTTAAAAGCCCTGTAGGTGTGCCACCTGCGGGCATGGTTTAGTGGTGGACTTGGCATTACTGGGTTAATGGTTGGACTCGATTTTGAGGGTCTTTTTCAGCATAAATGATTATATCCTTCTATAAATGGCAATTTTTTTTGGAAGGAAGAAGCTTACAGTCTAATGGCTTTGGTGGACAGCAGGGCCAAATCTATAGAGTAGGAGTTGATATGGTGAAGTAAAAGAGTGATGATTGTAATAGTTGTGTTTCTTTGTCTTCTCTAGCAGTATGCTGAGAAACATTGGTAAGTTATAGCAGCACACTAGGTACTTTCCATGCATAGATTGCTCTGTAAAAACCAAGATTTTAGGAAAAAATGCCATGTATGTTTTTATGAGATCCAGATTCAGTTATTAAATCTAAGCTAGCCTTCAGGTTGAGAAGTTTGAAAGTGTGGTGTTTTTGTTGGTTCAGGTTGGTTCAGGTTTTAAAGTCTCAGCAGTTCCCAGCTGCCTTAAGACTATTGGGAGATATGGAATATTTCTTTACTATGTTGTTGAAGATTTAGTCCTGTCAAGCTGGACTGAAAAAACAGGATCTTCTCATCTACCTTCTGCCAGACTCTATCATGGCCATGCATATTTATATTCAAATTACAGGTTTAATTGAAATTGGAAACCTGCGTATTTTTATTAATGTTCTTTTCTGTACATTAGTTTCTCCAGCAAAGCTGTAGCAGTTTTTTTGAGGTGTTCAGGTGCATGTTTTAAATAAGAAGGCTTAATATTTGTTTTCTAAATCTGTTAAGATCTCCATGCTACTTGTGGAGAAAAAAGATCAGATTCAGTCCTTCTCAGTAAAAGGCTATCCAATTGGAAGAATACTTGGCCATGTTCAAAGTAGGTTCAGCAAGATTTTACACAATATCTGTGATACCCTTCGATATTTTCCTTCTTTGAGTTATATGAGGTAGTTTTTGAATTCTGCATATTGCAATTGATTTACGGATATTAGTATTCCAAGTTCCTGATATGGGAAAAGGATCATGCAGTCACTCCTAAAGAACATTTGTCATATCCTCTTGCTGCTCCTTTGCCAAGAAGGGTGTGTGTGTACCTGGAAACTAAGAAAATCAGGAATTTCTGTTGTACTTAAGATTGCTTTCACACCCTTCGTTAGAGAAAACTTGTAGGTGCTCCTATAAAATCTGAGAGCTCTACTGGGTAGAACAGGAATACTTTTATATTTATATCTTAGTTATTTCTTCTTCTTTGCAAAAGAGGGAAATAAATCTCTCTGATTTCTGTACCAGTGTAGCTGCACTCAGAGTTACACCCATACAAATTAATATAGAAGCAGGATTCTAGATTTAGTGTGTGGGAAGATGGGAGATGAGGAAGAATGGAGTGAAGTAGCCTTTGGTTATCATGCATAACTTCACAGTAGGTTTAAACTGGTTAAAATATGTCTGGAGATTAAAATGCATTAATATATCAAAAGAACAGTCAGAGAACAATTACTGTAGAATAGTTAACTTCTTACAGCCCACCTGTAACTCCCCAACCAGACTTAACTCTATGTGTGTACATATTGATATTTAAATATGATCATTATATATACTGAAATGATATACACATACATGAAAATACATATCTATGTAACTAAAGTATGTATGATTCCTTACCCATTTGATTTTAGCGAAATATATTCTGCTTGACAGATCCTCATTTAATCCGTCTGCTGGTAATGGTTTCATCTTTAAAGGCCTCCTTATTTTTGATATAACAAAGATATAGTAAAATGTAGTAATTAAAGTAGAAATCTAGTACTCAATGCCTTCCACATTTTCCACCTGTACTTAGTGTATTAGCACAGCTTTGTGAGAACAGTATGACAGGAATGATTATTTTTATGGTTTGCTGTTTTCTAGTCGTAACAATTTGGGGAAATAAGTGCAATTTCTTACGACTGTAAACACCAGTTAAGGTAGGTTTTGCTGCTAATTTACAGAGGGGTTTTATGTTGTGATATCACCACCTTGTGTTACTAGCTGGAAGCGTTATTTGTGCTTTCTTAAAATAGGTACAGACTAAATTTGAATGTCTTGCGCTAATGCGTCAAGAAGAGGAACTGAAATTAAAGGAAAAGAAAGAAGTTCTAGAAGATGAAATAGCTGAGTTTATTGAGAAGAAAGCTACGGCTGAATTGCTTCAATCACAAGCGCCCGTCTCTACCCCTGTTGTTAATTTGAATAGACAAGGACTGCAGAAAGTGAGTGCTGATGCTGGTCATTAGAGGTAGCAATAAAAAAAAATCTTCACCTTCGCTTTTATAACTCAAAATTCTGTAATCTTTTAGAAAAGTCAGAAACATGCACCTATTCTGTTGTGTGATAAGAAGATAGAAGTGTGTAAAATATTGTCATGCTTGGATTTACTTTTAGAGTAATTGCTGTATATTCTATGAATATTTTTTTTCTTTTTTTCCATGAAAGAACCAAGATTCTCAACTTGAACTCCAATGCTTTGATGTCAGAGATGAAGGAATTATGAGTGTTCGAGAACAGAGCGAAAGGGAAAGTGAGGAGGAGGAGGAGTTAGAGAAATTCACCTAGGGAATTCCAGAAATAGTATTTGATTGCAGCACTCAACGCTTTGAATGTAGGGTATGTTAGTTTTATGAAGTGATCTGATTGCTGTTGTCTCATAATATATGTCTTCCTAATACAGATTTTTTAGAGAAGAGGTTGATAAAATTGGCTGTGAAATTATACAGAGTGCAGAATATGACCCGATAAAGATTTCACTTCCTTCTCTTCCACCCACTTCTTTTTTTCTCCGCTTCCAAAAGAAAAGCTTGAATTTCAGAAATATATTCAAAAGTAGTCTCCAGAATAACATGCCCAACTTCTTCATATATAAAAATTGAATTAAATGCTCATATAATAAATTAAACTGATTTAAATGTTTTTCTCCTCCAGAACTAGAAGTCAATTATCTTATTAATTTCATTTCCTGATAGGTTACAAATTTACTGCAGATGACATTTTGTTAATTAATAACTTACTGGAGTTGAAAGCAGATTTTTTGGTTCTGAATTTATTCATAACTGCTAGATTATGAAGAACTTTTGAAGCTAGGTTGGTGCACATATTTCCACAAATATGTGACATTTTTGTGGTGTATGATAAGAGCCTGCTTATGTTTTTGCCAAAATTTATTGCATTTCAACTACTGTTACTGAGTTCCTTTTCTTAGACTCCTTTTTTTCCTGGATTTACATATGAAAGTGGAATTCTTAGAAACAGAGGTCATTATCTGCACTACTATGAGTAACTCACAACTTCAGAAAATTTTTTGTTTGTTTTCTCTGGTTTGGTTTTATTTCTTCAGAGTAAGTTAAGTTTATGTGCTTGCTGTGTTTTTTTAGTTCCAGCTTTCCATAGTACTGATGACAGAAGACACAGTATTGATAATTTCTCTCGAGGAAGCAATGACTCATGGTGCACTTTTGAAGGTATAGGTGTTTCAGTTCCTTATGAAAGGAAGATATCTCTCATTGCTGCGTGCTGCAAAACAAGAATTTTTATGCATGATCTGTACACATAGAATGAGGTGATTACTGTCATCACCATGAGTTTTCTTCAAATGGTATGGTTTAGTAGTCTACTAAGTACTATTCAGTACAACTGTTGACATATTTGAACCACTTACTGATTGTGCTGACAGATTTTTGTTTATAGGCTTTTATGTATATGCAGTGTTCTAGATTTCAGATACAGTCTTTCTAATGAAAATTTATTGGAATATATTTGCAGTGGTGTACTGTTGCATGATAGTTTATCTAACATTAATTTAATATGGAAAGTACCTGTAACTTTTTGATGCTTATGAGTGTGGTGTTCAGTTACAGCTGAAGCTTTACAAAAACCATTAACTACGAGAACTGCAGGTTAAAACAAGTTTTAAATGCCTTGTGTATTTTCAGTAGCCATGATAACTAATGGGAAACTATAAGAGGTACAGTTCTCTGAAGTTCTTTTGTGCAAATGTTTGACAATGAAATACTAACCTGACAAAAGTAAAATAGATTGATTTTGCTTAAGAGTTACTCTTGTTCTGCTTTCTGTGCCTCATGTGTTATTAAAAAGGAGTAAGATTTTGTATTTATCTGAAAAAATAAATTTTTTACATCTGTTTTAAATATCTTAAATCATTTATTGATTGAAAAAAATAGGTGATTTGTGTTACTGTACCAGAAAGGCAATGAGACTTGCGATGTACTTGTCATACACCACTGTACTTATCATAGAGTCGTAGAATATTTCAAGTTGGAAGGAAGCCATAGGGAGTTGGAAGGGACCCAGCAAGGTTCATTGACTCCAGCTCTCTGCTCCTTGAAGGACTACCATTGACTCGACCGTTTGCATCTGTTTGGTTAGAAGCAGGGGATAGGTCCTCCTTAAAGTAGGTAACAGCCAAATGAAAAGAAAAAAATATTCTTTTTAGTAATTTACAAGTGTTATTAGGTGATCTTGAACAGAATGTAATAATAATTGATTTGTATTGTCAGCACTCAGTTATCCCTGTGTAAGTTATCACTGCCGCTGATGTTAGTTAGCTCAAGCACGGCTCTTCATGAGCGTTAAAAAACTGTATCCAATGACAAATTTAGCTGTCTCTAGTCTGGCAATTTTGTTGAGGACAAAGACTGAGATAGTTAAGTACTGTTTGACCTAGATATCTCTGTGCCTGGCCAGCACTAGAGGGTGTGCTGTGCTTTGACAGCTGGAAACCACGAATAGTACTGTATGGTACCACATGTCTTGGTCAGATGGGCTTATGTTCAGTTGCATGTGCTGGCTCTGCAGGACTTAGCAGCAAACAAAACTGGTGCAGGCACCTGTGCAGGTGTTTGGAACAAGTGACAGTGAAAGGGAGTTCGTTCAGTTGTAGCACGAAAATGGCACAGCACAAAATGAAAGAGCTGGCGGGTTTCTCTTTCTTTGTTCCCTGATACTCATTTAAACAGAGAGAGAGTCATATGTAAGTGTGGGAAATTCCACAGTTGTTTTGTTTAAGTTTGCCTAAAGGTGAGATATCAGGGAAGCACACAAGTGCACATTACAGCCTGACAGTCAAATGCAGATCAAAAATTTATAAAGGAGCAACTAACCATATCGTCTGAAAGTGGAGAATCAGTAGTGGTGGTAAATAAAAATGTATATGGCTCCTTGTAGTTTATCTTAGCTATGTGCTTTTTAATTGAACACTTCAGAGAGGTTTATCCTGCAGGTGAAGTGGTTTCAGGACCATTTATTAAGGTTTCTTTATTGTTATGGTACCTTTTCCATGTGGCTACTGGATAATTGTTTACAGCCTTTACAAACCTGAAGGTTTTGTTTTTTTAGATCCTTTCCATAGGTTATTTTCCATATATATTTTGTATAATATTCTTAACCATATCTTTAAAGTTACTATGCCAGTAACAAGACACAGCCAGGATTCATAAGCAGTTTTATCTTAAATCTGGCTGACAGGTCAGGCTCAAAGAGCTATAGTAAATGGGGTTACATGAAGCTGGCAGCCAGTCACCCCAAGGCTCCATTTTAGGGTCACTGCTCTTTAATGTTTTTATAAATGATCTGGATGCAGGAATTGAATGTACATCAAGGAAGTTTGCCGAAGATACTAAATTAGGGGGAAGCTGTGGCATCCCTCTGAGATAGAGAGGCCTTACAGAGATGTCAGGATAGGGTAGAGAGCTGGGCAATCCCTAACCAATTGAAATCCAACAAGAGCGGGTGCCAGAGGCTGAGGAGAAGTTCATACTGGACTTCAGAAAAAGACTTTTCACTGGGCAGGTGGTGGATCACTAAACACCCCGAGACAGTGGTTACAGCATCAAGCCTGTCAGAGTTCAGGGCGTATCTGGAATATGCTCGTAGTCATATGGTTTAGTTTTAAGTAGTCCTGCGAGGAGCAGAGAGTTGTGCTTGATCCTTATGGGTTCCTTTCAGTTTGAGATATTCTGTGATTTTAACTTATGGTGACACAAGCCTCTTTCATAGCAGCAGCAACATAATATTTTATAGAAATGAAAATACTAAAAAATGGGTAATTTTCCAAGACCTTTGTGAAGGCTTGTGTAATTCACATTCAGCGTATCACTGTGGAAAGTAATTTATGTAATTCATGGACAGGTAAAATACCTAAATGGATTTTTTATGAGGTACCGAGGCATCTACTTTTCCTTGTTTTCTTTAATATATGTATTTTTTAAAATCCAGACCCTAGCATCAAGGCAGCAAAGCACTGTTAGCTAAGTATAGACACTTGCAAGATTTTAAACCAGAAAAAAAAAGTCTTCAACAAGATTTTCACTAGGGTGCGCTCGAAGAACGTGGCTTTCACCCTGGGGAAGGGACTGTGGCACTGAGCAACTGTGTCACTGGCTCTGAAGAGCCCCCTCTAGTCGAACCTGCTTTTACCACAGGGTTTGGAGGCTCCAGAGCCCCCTTCGAACATCAACTGTTCTGTGATTCTGAAACGCATTTATCATGAGCAGTTTTTTCCCAGATATTAAGAGAATATTAATTTCTGTAGAAACAAAGCTGTAAAGCGTGGAAAACAGTATAAAAGTAAGTGCAGTGAGAGTATCTGAGCTGACGCGGTTGATTACCTGCTAGGGCATTAAAATGCTGGAATCAGTCTTCATAATTTGAAAATTTATGAGTTCAATTGCTCCTCTGAGCAATTGCTCTGATTCTGAGCCAAAATCTTTTAAAATTACTTCCTAGAAATGTGTGTGAAAATACCCAGTTTTTATTGTTGGGAAGTACTGGTGAGATGCGTCAGGATGTTTTCTGGGTTATCATCCTGCGAGTCATAGGCTTTCTGAAAAAGAGTATTGTGTAGCTGCACAAATGTCTTTTGGTATCAGGTCTCTAAGTATCTCTTTATTTTGGGATACTTGTACTTGTGATCATTAAGTAATAATCTCTCTTGGCACTTTTATGTATCACAATTTCTTAGTGTAATTTTCACAAACAAGGAGCCCACCGAACTAATGGTTTCAGAATTAAATTCTGTCTTATGACAGAAATTTGCCTTTCTCTGATTTTCATATCCAAGTGTGAAGGATTTTATTATCTTCCTATTCACATATACGAACCCATACATTTTTTATGGCTGTACATTAAGAGGTGCGTCTCGCTCCTGCTGGTGTGTATGTAGATATATAGATCACTCACCAGTGCCACAGTTAGCTAAGAGTGGTCCCCAGGCTGCATGATAGGTTCAAGAGACTATTTTAGTGCTTAACACTTGGTCTGGATGCCTGACTGCAGTTCCTGCATTCCCTTGTGCTGGGAGGAGGAAATCTTTGCTCCCCTACTAGTCTGCATACATTTGGAGGGGCAGATCCTCCCCAGTGAGAAGAGACTGCAAGACAAGAGTTCTCTGCACCCCTAAGATTTTACATGTTACCCTCACAGAGTGGAAATGTGGAGCTACTCCTTCCTCCTCAGGGAGATGTTAACTCCTTTCCCCAGAGTTTGGAACAGTCAGACTGGTAGTCATCACTGCTTTGGAGAGAAGAGAAAATAAGTAGCATGTTTAGAAAGAGGATAAGAAAGTACTGGTGTTTGCGTAGCTGTTTTTAATGGCTTCCACTTATGGCTGTTTTGCTGAGATGGGGTTTATTTGGTAAGTTTGCAGAAAGCCAGAGGTGGAGTTCCATTCCCCGTGCACTGGCAGTGTGAAGATGTTTGGTCCTTTTAGCCTTCTGGGAAAACAAAGTGATCCCAGTGCATTTTGGTATATCCTGCTGCCAAGGTGTGCGAGCAGCCAGAGAGATGAGACACGCAGAACTCTGTTGTAGCCTTTCCTCAAACATTCTGTCCCTTCACGGGGTGGGACAGGACTCACTTGGCTTGCAGGCTCCAGTGAAAATCTGTACTAGCTGCCATCTAGAAACACATCAGGCAGTACTGATGGACTGTGCATAGGAACACAAAATACCAGTGCTGTTTTATGACTGTGTTCATAGTAGATGAATGAATCCAAGCTTTACCCCACAGTCAAATCAATATATGCCTCTAATAACTTAAAATGTGCAAACACACAATGCAAATACCTATATTTAAGAAATAATTCCATTGTCTGTTGTGATCGCATTTAAGACTGGCATGTGTGTTTTGTCTCCAAAGTTACAGAAGTTCTCTTTGCCTACATTAGCTTCTCAAGGGGGAAAAAAATCTTAGGCAAGTTGAGTATCTTCTGACTGCTTCTCAATCTTCCATGTATTTATTCTCTCAAAATGAACATTAAGAAGTTCAAAGATGCTGCATTGGAAAATGAGACCCACAGGGGGTAGGGCTCAGATTTTTAAGTGTATTTAGGTTTTGGGTTTTTTTACTTGCACTCACACAGGGAAATCGAGCCGTGGAAGTAAATCCTTATAGTTTTTAATATATAGTTACAATCCCATAGCAAATCTGTGTACTAAGTACTTGTCCTGACATCCTTTGCTGGTACTAAGCACAGGTCTGTGCTCCCCAGACTTGTACATAGTTCTCAATCCTGCTGTTGTTTATACTGATAAATAAAACAGAGGAGTTTTGTGGAGAGTGATCTAGGCAAGGAGGAGGATGCATTCTGAATTCGGACTTCTGTGGTTTAGGTTTGCATGAGTACTTTGTTTCCTTAAATACAGAATTTAAATGCCTTCTCTGTTGTATCTAGATTCCCCAGTCACTTAGATTTTAGAGAGGAACTCATGTGCATTTTTAATGTCTCCAAAACCATACTGGGTTTCCCAAAGGAATATGGTCCATGGTGTGGACCTGAAGTGTTTGTGACTGTCGTGGTCAGAGGAGAGGCTTCATAGTTTATCCCGAGTTGTCAGTCCATCCCGCTGATGTTTTCCAGTTTTATTTAGATGGTTAAGTATGCATTGATCCCGAAACAAAAAGAAAAAAATTGCAGTTTTAAGTTCAAGTCAGGTTTTGCTCATTGCTCCAGTATGGGTGCAGTTTTTACTAAATGAAGCTATTTCAACAGGAGATAAGGATACCTCAAAAATTCCTTAGCCTGGAGTTTTCAGCCAAGTTCATTGTTTGAAAGGTGAGAAAGCTCATTTCAAATCCCTCCTCCAAGTCAGGAATAACAAGGGGCTGGGTTTAAAACTCTTCACACTATAAA